AATTAAAAAGACGAAATAAATTATTAAATCGAAGTTATATATATACCTATTTTCATGAAATAAAATATTTATTTAGTAGTAGAATTTTCTTATTTAATTATTTAGTAAATTAAATTCATATATACATGATAGTTTCATCATATTTTTTTATTTTTATTATTTTAAAATGTTTTAAAAATATTACACAATTATAACAAAAATTACAAAAATATAGAATTTACCCAACATTATATTGATATCTGAACATTAAATTTAACAACAATTATGTTAGAAACTACTCATTTTCAACTTATTTTGGAAGCGGAACATTATCAGATTTTAACAAGTCATAGAGTCACTTTTATTTATTTTTAATTTTGCATAACTCTTTTTGAATACTTATTTGTAAAAGTTAATTTTTATTTTAAACACCAACTTCATCCAATTATCTTTAATAGCAAGAGATTATTTTTTTTCCACAATTAAGAATACTGATATTATTTCCACTTTCTTAATATACAAGTAAAAAAAAAAAGTAAGACAACAAGGTGCATTAAAATTCTACCAACTACTAGAATTTTGAACAAACAGGACAAGAAAACAGTCTTAGGTAGTAAATGGTTCACGACTCTCATGGTTTTTCTCTATCCCTTTCCCCATCTTTTGAAAACGCTCATTCCACAGCCTTCATGGGATGGTGTCGAATATGGTTATGATTTTGATTAATAAATTTAATGATTATTAAATATATATAATTTATATTTATAAATTTAATTTTTTATATATTTATTTATTATTTATTAATAATATATTATTTCACCTTCAAATTCAATATTATTGAAATCCACACTGATCACATCTGTACCTATAAAATGACCAAATAAAACCAATATTCTCCATAATTCGGCCCAAGCTATTCAACAGAAAAACACACGAGCAAGATCATAATTTGGATGAATCTGGGTTTTCTTAAACACGCACTACTGCACCAAAAAGGCTCGATTAATATGGGTCCACATATATCACAAGAATAGTGAAATGGTACCACAAGAGAAAAATTCTAATAAATTCTTATTTAGAGTTTGTAAAAAAAATATGTATAAAATTGGTAATTTTATATTGATTTCGCTTGCTTAAAAATTATCATTTAATAGAAAAATTATAAGAAAACCATATAAAATAGTAAATCTAACAAGAAAATCCTGGAATTTTGCCACAATATTCAAAAACACTGCCAAGGATACTAATATAATCATAAATTTTATACTAGAAAACGTGATGCAGTGAAATAAATAAATTCCAAGCGTGTGCGGTTAATGCAATTTCCTTTTCAACCCTATCTGCCACAAGTAAAGATGATGCCAGAGTCGTATGTGAGTGTTTAATGCTAATGATGGTGACGAAGATATATTTTTGAAGTGTGAGCAATTGTGAAATTTTCATACTTTCCCTGTCACACGAGTTATATTATAGAAGAGGCAAAAGTTAACAAGACAAAATTGAAAGCACTACTCAGATGCACAGAAGAGGTGAAGCAGCAGCCATGCATACGGAAAATCTGCAGTCACAGTAATGGAGAATTCAAAGAACAGATATTCCCATGCCATGGATCAAAATTTTCATAATCAAGCACATAACTTTCATTCAATATTCAGAATTCCAAGTTAGATATAAAATTTACGACCAACTTTACTTCGTTACCTACTGCTCATGTTTTGTTCAGCAAGGCAACTGACACTACCAAGTCCAATTTCAGGGCATATAATTTGAAGAGATAATATAATGTGGGGGGAACAAAGATTGAAATATTTTTCAAAGATGAGACAAAGACGTTAATTCATTGATTGAATTAGGTATTAGATGGAGTAAGTTCAGAGGTCAAGCCCAAAAACGTGCATGAAAAAACATTAATGAAGGAGAGTAATGAGAATCACGTGAGATCAGAAAATCCAAAGCATTGTGACAGAACATAAGCTGAGGAGGGACTACGTGTAATATAACATAAAAACAAAAAAAAAAAAAAAAAAAGATTATGAGATCAGTGATGGGTACCCTTCTAAATGTACCTGTGGCCCTCTGCACCTTGCTCCCACTCTGCCACCATATTTATCTGGTTTAATAAATTAAAAGAATATTTAAACTAAAAACAAAACATTATTATGAGAGTTGAATCTGTGTATCTAACAATTTTAGCTATTAAATGATTAAATTTAGTTTAATAAAACATTTCTAATAAATATCATTCTTGAAATGTTTTATTCTATACAGAATATTATAAAATTTGGATCTCTTTAATGTTCAACAAAATCTATAGTGTTGTTAACAGAGAAATAGTATGAGCATGTTTGAGAGAGAAATGAGAATGTTTGAAAAGGAATAATAGGAGGTAGAGAGTATAGGTGTGAGGTGTAGGGTGTGTGATTTGACAAATGACACCGCAATGCAAACCTCTTTTGCCGACGGCTAGTAGCAGAGCTCACAGTACTACCGACAATTCATGAATCTCTTCTTCATCCCTCCTTCTTTTTCTCCTTCCCTCAATGTCAAATCTCACTAATCTCTGTTAAATCACATACACCTGTTCGTCTACAACGTACACTTCTTCTTACGTTTCTTTTCCACTCGTTTTCAATTTTTATTCCATTCAAATACAATCCTTATCAGACGTAATAATTAAATACGATTTCGTTTAATTTGATTTAATGTAATGTTCAACAAACTAATGTTTTATAACTGGATTTGGATTAGTTTTTTTACATTGACATTTAAACAAATCATAAAATAAAGATATAAATTATTTCTACGTTGCTTCAATACTGCTGCTTCCTCTTACCTCCCAACTTTGTCTCATTCATTGTTTCAATTTTTACTTATTTGCAATTTCTTTTCACTTAATCTGAATAAAACTCTTTTTTTTTTTTACTTTTTTTTTCACTCACTTTTTAACTAAAAAAGGCTTAAAATTTGATAACTCTATAATGACTTTCTTCTAAAAAGGTGCATTGAGAAGTTAAGGTAGAAATGCACTCATAAGATTTTAAGCTTCACTTCAAAATAATGTCAAAATCAGAAGAAAATACATTAATCTTTTAGAATATTCTATGTCGAATTATCTTGCACGTTAGATAATATTATCTTTCTTACGTATTGAGATTGAGGATTAATATCTGTATACCACTAAGTTTTTTTTTTTTTTTTCCCATAGATACCTATGACACATTCACTTTTACTTTAACGTGATTTCTTTCTTATTTTCGTCCCCACCACTGGCTAAAGAGAAGTTTGGGCCATTGCAGCCAAGCATCCACCATACTTAAAGTATATAATAACATTTTTCGTTTAAAATATTCAACTTTAATATATATTTTTAACATTATTGGTAGGAAACATAGGAGGCAAAAGAAAACTATAATGTATTTCTGTAGTGAGACGTGACTTCGTTGAGGAAACAAATGTATGCTATTTGACCAGACAGTATTTAAATTACATATTATATGGAAGGTGGGTAAAACTTTCCTGACCCTACCATCTCATCTTAACACAACATAAGAAGGATCAGGCTGCCTGAACATCAAAATTTGCCAGACATCCCGTTCCACGCTAATAGGCTTTGTTTCCTCCGAAATTGTCTCACAACATGACCGTTAACAGTTCTTGATTATAAATAGCTCCATTGTTACCGGAAATTATATATTATAACTCAAATTACCAAAATACATCAGTCTTCATGTTTATTACTACTGTTAATTATCCAGTAAATTCATTTTATTAAAATTTGAATAAATAAATTTTCACCATTACTGGAACATCCTTAGGTGCACATTTCATTTTTCTTTTCCCCACTGTTGCCTTGAAATGATTTTCATGAAATGCAGTCCATGGCTGTGTAACCCGAGAGGCCACGATGGTTAAGAGGTCTGCAACTGCTTCTTTCCCAGCCGGCCCAGGGTTTCCAAATGCCTAATTCAGCCCAATCTTTTCAAATCATTTAATGCCTTCGATTATGTTTGCCAATGTCATAGTTATGGTTGGGATCCAAATAAAAAATATGATGAATTAGAGAATAACACATTCTTTAAATTGGAGGAAGATAGGCTTTTTGCCAAAAACTATTTTACTGTCGAATATCAATATTTCATAAAATACAGTGGCACCTAATTTTCCCAATAAATTGGAAAATACCTTGATGCATTAAAAATAACAGCTTAAATATGGTTTCAAAAAACTGGTCATCTCTTTGCAACGAATTCAACAAAATAATGGCACCCAGAAGAAGCCAAGATCCTAGACAGCCCAGTTATATTAACGTAAAAAAACATCCGATCTAATTCAAGACAGCATAGATTTTGCAGCAAAATGATTTTTACTCCTTTTTATCAATCAAAGACAATGAATCTACCATCTCTAGTAAGATATTGAACTTCTTTTACGATTGTCAGCCAACTTCATAATCTGTCAAGAAATTATATATCAATCCTACCTTGAATAGCGCTATCTTTCCTCAAGAACTAGACATGTTACACGACTATAGCATAACACGAACTAACATCATGCTGATTCACTTTAGATCAACAACAATCAATGAAGGATAAGACTAATAACCATAAAGCCGAGCAAATAATGAAAAATATGCATTTCAATAATAGAACTAGGGCAGGTGCAAAGAACCCATGAATTAATGATATGTGTTAGTGAAAAGGGGAACCAGAAGATTAAAGCAAACAAACCAAATAGCACACACTGAAAAAACATTAAAAGAAGAATAAGAGAAAAGGATTAGCATGAAATTATTTTACAGATGCATGACACCTCTACTAATAAAACTCCATAACTAAATATGATGAGTTGCTACACTACATGCTTATGACACATAAAAAGGTATCTTCACAAATTAAAAGTAACAAGTCGAGTGACTAGCTCTTACAACATCTAGCGAAAAGAATATGCCACATTTCACAGCCCCGAAGCAGTCAGTAAGTATTTACCTACGTGAATTAAGGCCAAAGGACCCTTTTAGTCAGTCAGCTAGATATTTCACCATTGCTTCCTTTCAAACTCGAAGAGTCCACAACATCCTGCTTTACACCATGAGGCAATGTCGCACTACCTGGAATAAATCCGTTACCATTAAAAGGTTGATCAAATTTCAAATTTGTTGCAGACCCAAGAATTCCACCATGCCCCCAAGATCCTCCACCACTACCTACTATTCCAATCCTACCACCGACATACGCTACGTTTGGAAGACCACTAGCATAAGGCAACTGACATGCCTGAGGATGACCAGGCATCATTGGCCCGTACCAGAAGTTTCTAGAAGCATCAGACGGAATTGCATATCCATTCCCCCCATACCCACCCATAGGGTACCAGCAACCGTAAGCATTAGAACCATATGCATATACTCCATCACCACTATACCACGGTAAAGGAGCAAAACCCGGAAGCATGTTCCTAGGACTATAAGGAGGAAAACTCTTAGGAACTCCTCTTTCACTCTTATTTCTCAATTTACTAAAACCATCATACCCAGGGTTCCCCTCTTTGGGAACAGCCCTCTTGACCTCCACCTGTCTACCATTCAAGTCATGAAAACTCTTCACCATAACGTTTTGAACCGATTCCTCGGAATCAAACGTGATGAACCCAAACCCCCTAGGTCGGTGAGTGAGACTGTCCTGCATCACCACAACGTCAGTTATCCGACCAAACCTCTCAAAGTATTGCTTAAACTCCTCCTCCGATATACCAGCAGGTAAACCCCCCACAAAAATCTTTTTAGTCCTAACGTTGGTGTCACTGCTACAGTCACAACTACTATTATAGTTACTTCCCCCTCTATTGTGCAAATGGTTCTGGTGTAGTTGTTGTTCACTCCTGGGAATTGCTTTCTTCACTTCAACCTATACACAACAAGAAAACAGCACTGGCCATAAGTCAACCACATTACCCACACACTCCCACACAAAACGGATTTACACGGTTTCAGTTTTTTCTTGAAATTCTAAAAAAGGAGTTTGTCCCGAAAGAAAGAGACAGAAAAAAACAAACCGTTCTTCCGAGAATGACATGCGTATCTTGGAGGGCTTGATCCGCGGCGGACAGATCGGAGAAAGTGACGAAGCCGAAACCTCTAGGGCACCGTGTGCAGCGGTCTACAGAGATTGTGGAGTCCAAAACGGTGCCGTACTTGGCGAAGTGGAATTTGAGAACATTTTCGGTGGTTTCACGAGAAATGCCACCTATGAACAGCTTTGCTCTGTCAGAATCCATCTTCAAATTCATCCTACTCTACTGTACACAATCCCTAAATCCCCAATTCAATCACAAACACCCCTTTCTCGGTGTTCTTTTTTCGTTCCCAGCTATCGTACACTGAACTAAACCCCTCTGGTCATTGTCCAATAAATGGATTTCCATTCTGGGCCCAAAAGCCCGTTTTCACTTTTAACAAATCCATCAACTTACTGACAACACTAAGGAATGTTATAAACTAATTTCAAGTTACTATTCTATCCTGAAACCTTAAATATGTTCAAGACATATATATTTAAATATGTTTGTATTTTTTAATATCACTTAGGGAGTTTGATAAAGTGCAACCACCATAAAAAACTATTTTTAAATATGTCATTAAATTTGAACTTTATAATATTTTTTATATTTTAACATCAACTAAATAATTCTACGTAACATTTCATTTCAATTCTCATATCTCTAATTCTAATTTTACTTCAATATTTTAAAAAAATAACAATATATTTTTATGAATATTCTCTAATTCTAATTTAACTTCAATATTTTTTTTAAATAACATTTTTATGAATCTGTGATTATAAAAAGTGGTATGTACGGAAGGATGCTAGCAAAATAGATTTGTTGGTATGCATACAAGTATTTTAGAAAAAAAGAATTTTTGCAAACAACCCTTGTAATTATCTTGTCGTATATATCTACTTTTTTTAAAATGTTCATATGCTTTCATTTTTTTTAAAAGGGTGAAAACAGAAAATTAATTTAATATGCAATACTGATTTTAGTACATAATTTCTAAAAGAAATAAATTTTGTTAAAAGATATTCCAGAAATTTGTCCTCTTAAATCATATTAAGTTATTATTACTCTATCAAAGTAATGTCACTTTCAATTATAATTTTTTTTATTCACAAAATTTAATCTAAAAAAAAAAATACCATCCTTAATATCATTTAAGGAATCACTAAATATCGTTTCATTTTAATACAAAACTTATGAGTGATAACAATATATAATAAATTTTGAATTTTATAAATTGAAACAATTATCTTAGAAGAATATTAGAGTTAAAAAAGAATAGCGGTTTATTGAACTTCATTAGGACAAATCTTATCCAAATATCACATTCAATATTTTATTTTATTTCTTTCATATATAATTTTTATTTTTAAAATCACAAATCAATTTCAATTTTTGTATATTTTCATTCATATTTATAATTTACTTTTAGTATTATTATCCATCAAATAATTTCAGAAATTATTGTATAACATATAAATTATTAATTACAATTTTATTTTTATTTTTATTTTTCCAATATATAATATTTATGTACTACAAATTTAAATATTTACATAACAAGTAAAATATATTTACTGTAAAAATTATATATTTAATAGCAAAAATAAAATAAAAGGTTGTTCAGAAATATAGACTGAGAACATAAATAAAAAATAGAAATAAAGGTATAGCTAAACTAGTCCTTAAAACAGTCATTTGAATTTTATTTTTAGACTATCTAACTTATTTTCTTTTGGATTATTTTTCTGTCTATTACTTCAATTCAATTTTATTAATTAAAGTATCTCATTAATAAACCTCTCATTGTATTTTAATCACATTTTGATGTTATGTTTAATGATCAATTAAGACTATATTTTAAATATTTTGAAAATACTGAACGTTCTCATTAATAAAAAAGACAAAAACATTTCATAAATATCATTATTTATTAAATAACACATTAGGTATATCAAAATAATTTTTTTACTATATAATAATTTTGTTAGTAATATTTGTTAATAAAAGTTATAAATATATATTTAAAATAACAAAATAAATAATCATTAAAATAAAATACAAATATAATAAGTTAAATATTATTTAAATTTGATATATATAATATTAAATAAAAAAATAAAACTATATATCTTTTATAAAAAACTATATTAAATTTAATCAGAATTACTTTATTTCAAAATTTAATCGAAAAAATCAGTAGATTTATCTTTTTTTTTTAATTTTGTTTCAATTTAATTAAAATCAAATTATTTAAAAGTTGAGTTTTGATTTTGTCCAATTTTCGAAACATAGATTACAATTCATAATATAATATTTATAATTAAAATTAATTAGAAAATACTGATTTTTTTTATTATAATAAAACAATCTAATTATATTTAATCCCAGTTAGAGCTGAGACTTCAAAACATGCAAAATTCTACTTGATATCAATTAGAACTGTCACTTTAAAAACACACAAGAATATTCATCTAGATAATTCAAATGTCATTCTATACATACATAAGATTTTCGATTTGTAAAGATAAAATATTAATAACACACAATCATTACAGATAACTGTAATAAGTAATTTAAAAAAATATAAGATTTTAAAAATGATTTAAAATAATAATTATAATAGCATAATAAAAATCGCTCCATTTAGTTTAAGAAAAATATGAAAACAAACTTAGAACAAAATTATTAAAACAAAAATTGTTTGATCTCATTTTCTACCAATGTGAAATTGATTCCGTCAGTTGGATTGGATTCAAAGTTCAAGCGAAAAAATCGAGTGGAAAAGAAATTGGATTTGGGCTAACAGATCTAATTCGATGATTCCAAAAAACTTCGTTCTTAAAAAATAAAAAATTTCGAACAAATCTAATTAGGTTATGAACACTATTCAGACTTTGGCTTTAAAATCAAAACAAAACTGAGTTTTAATTGGACTATGGCGGCGTGCGTAACCCGAACCCCAATGATTTAAGGCTAGAGCTTTAAACACCACTCAATCCATTTAAGGAGCTGGCTAAACAAAGCAATCACGTTAACAAAATATGCTCTGCAAATCACTAACCTAACTCCCTGTGATAGTGGACGACCAAAACACACGTAAAAATAAAACAAATTAAAAAGTAAAATGACATCATAAATTGTATAAAATGGGGCAGAGCTCATATTCTATGGGTGTAAACGTGTCTGTCATGCCATGGCATTAGCATTCAGAACGAGGAATTATTTTATAATCATCGCAAGCAACCCCTTTTTCAAATCTGTTCTATCAAAAATAAAGGAAAAAGAAAATATCTATATATAATTCAACAATTCACATAACATTTTCTTACTCATCATTTGAAATCACGATGAACGATCGGAAGAAGAAAGAAATACAAAGTCAGATACCGCATTCGGACGGAGGTTGGAGATGGCTCTCACAATGTAAATTCAAGAATGAAGATGCGTATTTAAAGCTGAGATTGACACGCTTAAAACCCTAAATCCTAACGAATCCGTAATGCTTTAGGTCTTGGTCAAACCGAAGCCCAACTCAAAGAAGGCTTTTTTTTAGCCATACCGTTTATGGGCTTTGTCTAAGTGGACAACTAGTATAGTGCTTTTTGTAACCTTTTAATATATAGATAGGTTTTCTTGACTTGACCCATTTCATTACATTTTAAGTCCAGTTTGGAGAGAAATTATATGTCTAGTAGATTTGGTTATAAGTGTCACTCATTTGTGTTTTAAACAATAAATTAAAGAAGTCATTAGTAAGAATCATTTATTTTTTAGTGATTTTTATATAAATTTATATAATTTTTTAGTTTTTTTCTTTAAATGTGATAGTATATATATTAATCTTGTGTGTGTATATATATATCATTTAGGGTTGTATATTTCTTTAATTTTATTATTTTAATTATATAATATGTTTTTTAAATAAATTTTATATAATATTAAGAATAGTATACGAAATTTAATGTGATCTCTTCTTGAATATTGTAAAATTTTAATTGAAAATTGTAAAAATAATTTTATTTTAAATCTAGACGGACGTTACTAAATCATTCTATAATTACTCACCCTTTTCTATTATTTTTTCCTTTAAAGATATCTTATTCTTTAAAATTACTTAAAAATATATTCATGTTTAAAATATTTTAATACCGACAAACTTACTCCATTAATTTACTCATTACACCATTGCTTTGTAATTAATGTAATTTTCAGCTTGTTCTTTTAAAAACGCGTTCAAATATGAAAATGGAACTTGGAACTTGGAAACTTTAAAATGAGAGACATCCATCTTATCACTACATGTATAAATATAGTAATATATAAAACATGAAAAATTATAAAATTAATTTATCTCTGTAGAAATTATGTCCATATAAATTACGTATATTTAAATTTCATTGTGAAAGAAGTGTTTAAATAACATTTCTCTCTTAATATATCTACCATACTATTATTAAACATGGAAAAAAAAATCTCGTTAAGATTCAAAAATCACCTTAAAATTATTGTTAGAACAGTTAATATTCACACCTCACATGACATGAGGTAACTCAAACTTTCTTTGTCTGAAGAGAGTCCAAAACTAATGGCTTTTGCCTTTCATCATTACCATCATAATTATTTGAAACTAAGCAGTTTTCTTGGTACATGGTGAATCAAAGGTTGTTGAACCCTGACTGTTACGGCGTACCATACCTATGACATACAAAATGTGATATTTGTAAAGTAGAGATGGAACATACGATTATTAAATTTGACATCATCATAACGTTTCTTGAAGGAGCTAACTACCAATATATTATCAACGCAATTAACTTCCGTTATTCAATTATGGAAAGTACTTTTGACCAACATCGTGGACAATCAAGATCCAGATACATGTCATATGTATAATGTGATAACTATTATCTGCTAACTTACATGCTTTATCATTCTAAATACCATTTTTACGTTATTAACAGTTTCAAACATGTTAAAGTACGTGTTTTGTTCACGGTAATGTATAGAATTACCATTTTCGAAAGTGTTTGTTATCATCGAGTGTATAGTTATTTTCTACTACTGATATTTTGTTTTTTTGGTCAATTGTGGCGTGAATCTATAATATTTCTTGCTTGTTTCTTTGTCCATGAATTAATTAATCTACAAGTTATCTCTCTCTACAACAGAATCAGTATTTTTGATTGATAAATCGAGAAACTCATATGCATAAACATTTCCCTTTCAAAAAGGTGACCAACAAGAGTTGCATATATAACACAAATAGCAATAGCAGCATCTCATACATACCATGGAGCACACCAGGTGCAGCACTAGAAACAACAATACCCTTCATAATGATGTTTATTTTCAAAAAGGAGTAAGCATACCCTTCTCATGGGAATACAAGCCTGGTCTCCCCAAAATCACACATCAGAAAAATGACTCAAGGTGCAGTAATATAGTGTTGCAACCTCCTCCATGTTCATCGTCTAGGACTGCACATAATAAACAAGAAATTCCAGTTGAGGTCATGGAGGCTCCTGATTTTATTCTTTGTGCAGTTCAACCTTCTTTCATGAAAAACAGATCTTTTCGATTGGAGAGTCAAACAGAAGATCCTTTTGTTGAAGCTTACAAGAAATGCACAGAAACCCCTAAGAACTCATTCATGCGTAAACAGTCTACTAAATCTAATAAAAGCAGTGGATCTTGGCCTAACATAATGAAGTATAAGGATATTTTTTCTTGTAAGTTTTCCATTGATGTTATGAGCACTGTTTAATTTAATTCCAAAGTTGTTGAGTAATTAAAAGATTTAAAATATATAATACATGTTATGTTGATTTCTTTGTTCAATGAGTATTCTAGGTTATTGGGACATTTATTTCAGTTTCAATGGACCCATTTACATAGTATTATTATTTATGTTTACGTAAAATTAAGGATGATAAAAAACTTCAAGATCCATAATTTGTTATAGAAACTTTTTTTTTTTGGAAAGGGGTAAGTATATAAATCTTTATTATATACCAGTTAAATTCATCGGAGAAAGTCCCACGGTTATAGAGAGGGAAAAAAGAACATAAAGCATAATTTGGTATTGAAATTAGCATAAGTGATAAAAAGGTTAACTTTAACTTGTGATATTTTACTTTGAAACTTGAGTTTGCATTGGTTAAAAAATATGAATTAGGCTTAGCATGTTTAATTCGCTTATAGTTGCATTATCTTGTTATTATCTAGCTGAATTTCTCTCGTCGAAAAAATTAAAGCAAATGGAATGGTTCTGCTCACCGCTGGCTTGCTTTCCCTTCGTCAGACAAACTTTTCAATCTGAACTGAGTTAATGCCAAGATGATTTCAAACTTGAATTTTATAACTCAACCATTCTTATTGGAGGCAAGAACCCGAATATACACAAATGCAAGCTTTACCATTAAAAATGTAACCAGATCCATATGTTTAGTATAGTATTCATGAAGTTTAAATACAAAATTTTCTTAAATGACTCATAAAAGTCGAAAGAATAAACAAATGGTTACAAGAATGATTCTGTTCATTATGATCTCTCAATACCAATAGAAAAACTAATGATCGTGTAAGATTTTTAATAATCGACAAATACCTAATTGATTCAACGTGATTAGTAAGAAAGTATCTTATTTTATGAATATTTTGAAGTATGAAATCTTTTAGATATTTGGAATAAAATAATATTTTCAAAAATATTTTTCATAGATAATCCACTAAAAAATATCTAATAATAATATAATAATAATTTTTTATGCACATTTTTATTATTATAAAATAGTATTCGTTGGTTTTATATGAGAAAAGAATTGTTACAATATCATTATTTTAGAACAAGCAAAGAGTGGTCTAGATACAAAATATTATGAACATTTTTTTTATGTATGTGAGCTTTTTTCTCACCAAAGAATCTAATAAAATACCAAATATATTTTTGGATGTAGTATTCCATTATATTTTATTTTGAATAGCTTTTTCATGTTACGAAAAAATATTTTCCAAGCCTACAAATAGTTAGAAAAAATGTTTGTAATATTAATTTTAGTGATTTAAGAAAGTCCCACGCAAAAATTTTTATTTTTTTTAAATGAGAAAGTATTTTAGACTTTCCCCACATATATGAATCGAGTTAAACATGAAGTATTTGTTTTATACCATTCTTAGCACTTCATAGTTCTCTTTTCTTCTGGTGCATACCGTCGTGGCTATACTTGGTCTTATGTTCTAACTTTGTGTTTCTCTTGCAAATGTGTTTTCAAATGACTTTTAATGCACTTGTCCCTTGTGATACAAAGTTTGTTAAGAGCTATTATATATAATGGATAAATGTACAAACCTTACAGAATCAAAGTTTGTTAAGATCATATATGTAATTAAATTAATGTGTAAAGTTCTTCTACTTTCCCCTAACTTTATACAAGATGATCAATCAATAACTCATTCCCCGGGAAGATACCTTTTTCTTGGGAAGAAAACCAGGTATACCGAAAGTAACTGTTGCTGAAAGTTTTCAAAGAAAACACAAGTTTGGTGCACAAGCTAACCTCCTCCATACACAAGTTTCCAAAGAAATCATGATCGTGCTTTTCAAATTTCTCTTCTCCCTGCACTTTTCAGCCTCCTTGTTCGCATGCAAGACCATGATCCATTTCTTGAAGCTTAAAGAAAATACACCAAGAGTGGAGAAAAAGCGGAGAGGAACAAAAAACTACATATTAAAACTAGCACCGAGACGAGGTTAAGGAATAACATGTCATTAATCTCTTGCAAGCAATCTGCCTTGTTCATCGCAATAATTTGGTCAAAATCTCTTATTCGCAGCCAAATGTAGGTAAATATTGATATGTACAACTTTTTAAGTTTAAATAAATATAAGTTAAAAAATAAAGAAATTAGAGTAGAAAGAAGTCAAATGACTTGTAAAATAAAATCACAATGGTATTATTATTTATTAGATTAAATATCACACCGAGTATCGGAGTATTATTGTTTGGTGGAAATTTTTATTTATCACCAATTTATCACTTATATATTTAGTTTTTCATTTTTTTCTTTTAAAGTTGGAGAAATTGATGTACGTTACATTGTCTGTTGACAATCTATATTTTTATAGACTAACGTTGAATACCTAACTTGACTTGTCTAAAATTATGATGAAGAGGTCACATCATCAAACCAAGACTATTCTATTGAGTCATTCCAATACTCCATCACTATGTTCCAGTACAAGTTTGTTGTTTTATATATTCATGGTTTTGTAAATTGTTCAGAACGAGGATTGAAAGGAGTTTTTTATTTGACAATTTTTTCCATAATGTAAAATGGTTGAGTCATTTAACGGCTTAACCCTAATTGACATGAGAAAAACTGGTACAGAAAAATATTTTTCTGTTTTGTGTAAAGCAGACATGCATCTTGGACTTCGAGAATTGGTGGGCTCAGGGCTGAGTGCAAAACACAGGTGGGTTTTTGAATGTTTGATCTCTGTGCCCAGTGTTTGATTGTGTGTTTGTGTGTGCGCCGTTCAGAGATTCGCTAAAGGCTCTTTTACAATTTATATGATTGGTTGTGTTGTGATTGAAATGGCACTGGACTTGTAAGATAGTAGTGCCAACCATTCAGAGAAAATAAAAATAAAAATATTAATAATGATAAAAGAAAATTTGATCAAGTTACTCAAATAGTGTATAACGTAAGAGTAAAACTTGAACTATTTATTAAAACTGTTACATTAAAAAGATTCACAAGAATGAAGAAGAGTAACTAGTTGATTCTTCACTTCTCATAATTGTTCATATTCTAATATATAACTAATATTTTATTTTTATGCATTATTTCATTTTAAGTGAAATTTATTTCTTGAGCGTATTAGACATAATGCTCATTGCTGACCTTTCTTGAAAGTATCAGTGGATTATACAATGAAATTATACGTCTTGTATATTGTTTGTTGGTTAAATTAAAAAAAAAAAAAAGTAGTGGGCCTTACCAAAACTTCTTCTAGGAAGGAGAATACTTGGAATGTTGATTCGAAATTAGGTTATGGAAGTAAATTTGAAAGGGAAATGTGATTAGTTAAACACAGTGAGTAGTACATCTCGATCCTGTACCTATGAAAGTACTGGCTACTGGTAGGCTTGCCTCATCTTTTAAGTGAGGCGTTGAGCCCACACTGAAGCCGAACCGTTTCTTTAAATGGAAAGGAGAATGGCTCAATGAAAGTGGCCATAAGGGTGGAGAGATCATCATTTTGCCCCTCAAAACAATTTTTATTTTGACCTTAATGTTGGGAGGTGAAATATGGGTCTAGATATTTTCTATTTTTTTACCCTCCTCTCCCATAATTCTTACATATAAATTCATGAAATTGATATCATTTTTTTACTTCAAGACTAATACTTAAGAGTTTATATTTTATTCTTTATTCATCTCAACGTGTTCTTAAACTCGGTTTCAAAAACACGTTACGCTAAGAATGACTCATGCTCACAATATTTAAAATAATTTTTGTTTTTAAATTTCATATATATATATATATATATATATATATATAATTTTACCCATGGCAAATCTAAAATTATTATATACTTGAAAATAATTCATATATTCTATTATTTTTAAAATAAAGTTAAAAAAGGAAATATTCAAATTTAATGTTTTATTATTTATGTCTTTAAAAATATGCAATTTAAAATTAAATTATATAAATCAACAAAAAATATTAATTTTTATTCATCATTATTATCATTTTAATATGTTTTATCTATCCGAAATTACTTTTTTTAATCAGCAAAATTACAAATACAAACGTATAATAAAAAAAGAATTAATATAATCTTAAAATATAAGTGTAATAAATATTAAAAATATTAAAAAAAATAAAATTAAAAAACAAAGGAAGTATTATTTATAAAAATATAATTCAGTGAGATAAGTGAAGTGAGTATCTTCTTACCGAATAGATTATATTATATAAAATTTTGACTTAAATTACAACGTATTTAATTTTTTAAAATGTGATTATGGACTTAAAAAATTCTATAATTAAATTCTATCATTGCTAAAGTAATCACATTGATGTAATGCAATTGCATATAGTTAGTTACATGACTGAAAATGCACCGTTGTGGGAAAAAAAAGATGAGAAATCACCAAAATCCATATTCCAATGGGAGTGGAAGGGATGGATGCATGTTTAATTTTTCAATTCTAAAAAATGGCCAAGTTTTCGAAGGAAAGGTCAGAAGTAGAATTAGAAATGGGAAGGGTTATTACATTTACAATTTTAGAAGGTTGACGACACTTAGTAAACTTCAAACATATCTGCCACAATGTCCTTGGTCAAGCGTTCCAAAACATCTTCCGCAATCTCAACGCAAATATGTCTCACTTGAGGCTTAAACTCACCCCATTCATCCATGGAATCCAAGTAATCCAAGCTCAGTAAGTTGGTTATTCGACTTGTCTCATTCCCACATAATTCCCTTGTCTTCTCCCATATTATCTTCCCCAACTCTTCGCGTCCCCTGGATTCTTTCAAGCAACGTTGTTCTCTACATTCTTTTCTCGAAACATTTACACTAATTTCTCTCACACAATAAAACAGCACCTGCTTTAGCTTATGCAAAAATGTTTTAGATTTCAACACGTGGCAAACGTTTGCGTTTACCCCAAGGAATTCTCGCAACTCCTTCCTACACTTTTCTTCTCTCTTCGCTGACTGAATAAGAGAACTCCACAGAGCCATCGATAACACAGAATCCTCCGTCATTTTCTTGGGTACAAACACACAGCAATTGCTCCTTCTCTCTTCCATTCCCGAAACATCCTGATTCAACGTCGCGTCCGTCACAGAAACTGGTACATTATTAGTGCATCATTATAAAACTGTTACTAATAATAATGTAATTTTAAACACACTTTTAACAACCATCGAAACTCACTACTTCGAGAATCTGGAACAGGGCTTCCTTCTAAGCATCTCTGCTGGTGCTTTTCATTGTCGGTAGTCTGCTGGCTTTGTTCGTAAGAGGAAAAAAACAAATCAATACACCTTTCTTTTTTTTCAGATTTACTGATAGAACACGAATCGATGAAGTAATAAAATATGAACCTGAACACTTAGATGTATAGTTTTTTTTTTTTCCAATAGAATTAGAATTCTACTCCACAGATCGAGCAAAAAAAATATGGAAAAGATTATCATAAATGACGGAAGTTAAATTCAAATTTTGATTGAGTAATAGTATAGTATCAAAAGGGTATATCAGAATCTGAGTTCATACCTCTGCAGTGGTACAATATTTGAAGCTTGGCAAGAGTTTGGAGAAAACAAAGCTCTGTCTTTCTGTGGCGACACCGAGGTTCCGTCTTCGTCAATGTCTGAGCAGGAGAGGTACACGGTTGAGTTGGTGGCTGTTGAGAATGAGAAACGATCTGTGTCTTCAATTGTTTGATCACTGCTTTCGGCTTCACGAGGGACACTATGATGGACATGTTCGTTTATGATGTCTGAGCCCCTGATTACAATACAGTTACGGTGGTGGAAAACAAGCTTCTTGTGTAGAGTAGTTAGAAGTTTGGAAAATTGGGACAGAGGCTCTCTCTTTTTGTTCTTGACCGATTCTCTACTGGTTGAGTACCCTCTTTCTAGAAGGTAAAGGTCTAGGATGAAAGGGTCTTGTTGCTCCTTTAGAAATTCTCCAAGTCTTTTCCCTGATTTGGGTTTTGGTGAAGCCATAGAAAGAAAGGGATGGGAATTGGAATAGAATTGGGTGGGAATATAAGAAGATGCAGAAATTAAATGGGGGCGTGACAAGGGCAAGAGCATTAAATTTGAATAGACAGCATAGCTGACAGAGTTTGGGACAGTGAGGTGGCAGAGGTACGAGGAGTTTGGGAGTTACGTGATCCCAAACTCAATGGGTGTATTTTACCTACCTCTTCTTCTGTCTTCTGCTTCTTCCAAGTTCCAACTTCAAAATGAACCTGCAAATTCCCTGCTAACTTTGCTACACATTTTGAACTGCTATCAATTTCAGGCAATTTAAATAATGGCCGTGAATTTGTCATAAATAGCCTCCACTGCCTTCTGCCATCCTTTCCTTTTCTTTCATTAATGCCCCTAGTTTAAACTTTGAATTTCGAATATCAAATCAAATTAAACAAAATTTATTAAATTTTTACATGAGTAGTATCACTATACATGTCTGCCTCTTATAAATACACTCAAGTACATACTTTATTTTTCGCAATTTCTTCTTTCTGTGTGATATCACCTCCTTTTGTTCATGTAATTTGAAGTTGGGTCATCAAAACAATTAATATTTAATTTTATTTTGGTATAAGATAAGGACTTTTAGTTAGGGTTGGAGATGGTCCACACGACGCATTAGATGATTGTATGCATGAAGAATATTTATTATTTCTTACTTTAGTTTTGTTACTTTACTTACAAAACAAATTCTCCACAACACGAGAAAGATTTGTGCATGTGATTATATTAAAATTGAAATGAGGAGATAAAAATATTGATACAATTACTCTTTTAATATTTAAAATTATGCCTTAATTATCGTAATTGAATTTCACCGTTTAATGTGTCTTTTTTGTTGGTCGATTAATTATTAAAAAAATATATTTTTTTCGTAAGTATGAGTTATTTGTCAGTTTTGGGATACCTTATATGTATAATAAACTTCTTATAAGATTGTTTTGAACTTTATCCAATATAAGTTTCAAATAAAACATCCAAAATTCTATTTAGTTTAAATTTGTTTTCAAAGTTAGTGAAGTAACTGAAAGAGCAGAAAGAAAAAACCGGAAGAGATCGATCGTGGACGAAAAATGCAAGAATAAAACATAATTTTTGGGTCTCATCTCAAAAATCTTCATATGGAGTATCTTTCACATTATTGACTTGATCGATGACAAAAAAATGTACTAAACGTTATCAATTTCAACTATCTAATATAAACTTAAAATTATTAACTAAGCATGTATATTTGTAATTAAGGCGTAGAAACTCCCGTGATTTAAACTTTTAATTAATCTTTTATATTTAAACTTTGTGAAAAATATTTTTTAGGTAAAATAGGACAAGAAAAAAGCATCATATAGTCAAAAGTCAAACTTTTGAAAAAATAAAAGTAGAAGATGTCGGTGGCTCGGTGCACCCTTCCACAATGTAGTGATAGAGACAATATACGATTATCTATACTACTAAATTTTAGTGAATTAATTTTGGTAAAGCTAAGTTTGAAAGATTTTTTTTTTCTTCATATGATTCATTTAAAATTCCATTTATGTTTAAACACAAGTTTTAAAAGTGAATTGATAATTTTTTTTATAAAAAAATATTTCTTTACACAAAATAAATAATTCGTATATGTAAATCAATTATATGTGATGATTTTTTTAATGCTTCAAAACTTAATTAAATCACATAAAATAAATTATCTTGGAAAGTTTTATAACAAATTACATTTGTATGTGTTTCGGTGGAATTTCGATCGATTTCGATTCTAAGGGTGTTTTGGTCCTAATCAAAATTCTACCACGTAAGTTCTTTTTACTTAGGCTAGCAATTTGATTTTCAATCGAAAACGCGTATGAGAATTGAAAACTACAGGATATCGAAAATGTGGTTTTTGGTATTTTATGTCTAAAATGCTTGACTCAAACAAAACAAGAAAGTATCGAATCGAGCAAAGAGAATATTAAATTGCAAGAAAGTGCGAAAACCCCGAATTTGCAAGAAATTAAGTTTGCGAGATAAATAAAGGACAGGAAATCGAAATGTGCGGAAATGTAAATTGCTAAAACCCATTAAAATTGCACAGTAAAGTAAATAACAGGAAATCGAAATGTGCGGAAAATGTAAATTGCTAAAACCCATTAAAATTGCACGTAAAGTAAATAACAGGAAATCGAAATGTGCTGAAAATGTAAATTGCTAAAACCCATTAAAATTGCACGTAAAGTAAATAACAGGAAATCGAAATGTGCGGAAAATGTAAATTGCTAAAACCCATTAAAATTGCACGAAAAGTAAATAACGGAAATCGAAATGTGCGAAAATGTAAATTGCTAAAACCCATTAAAATTGCACAGAAAGTAAATAACGGAAATCGAAATGTCATTGAATGTAATCTACAAGAATATGAAATTGCTGAATTGAAATGGCTCGAAAGTAAATTACCAAGGAAAATATAGAAAGCGATAAATGTACTCAGTGAGCAAGGAAATCCAGATTGCCGTAAACTTCATGGTGTTCGTCGTTTCTCCGTAGACTTTTCACTACCGATTCTCGTTCTCCGCCAATTTCCCCTCCCGTTTCTCCTTTCTTTGTTCTATTTATAGTGGCGTTGTTCAAGCCTTCTAAGAGCAGCTTAACGAGACTCGCTACCACGTTCTTCGTGCGTATGACAGCTTTCTTTTTACGCTTTTCCCATGTTCTCACGATCTTCAACTTTTCCATCACTTAGAAACTGCTTTCAAGACGTGCGTTTTGACTACTTTCTTTCAAGGTTTAGCCAAGGTTATGATATCTACGAAAACGAGCCTTCCCTTTGATTTAATCGAGAACTTTGCATACCTGGTATCGATTTATTTTAACCTTAACTCCATGTTAAGCTTTTCGACTATTACGCCTACTCTTCCAATTTTACCTTTCGATTTTATGTGTCACGTTCTTTATAATCGGACATCGGAAAGTTCCCTTTCGATTCATTTCTCGATCAGACTTCTCGATTCCACACTATGACTTAGTCTTTATTTGGCAACAGCTCGTTCATTTCTCGATTGTGCTTCTCGATGTTATATGCTACGTGTTTCAATTTGGACATCGAATGAATATTTGTTTATCTTATCGAGTCATATTTCTTTTCCCTTCGATTCCGATTGTGTTTCTCGATTTGCTACTAACAAATGCCCCCTTGAAAGAATATGAATAATTTCAGTTTATATTCTTTCAATATTCCCGCTTTAATGTTTGGAAGGTCCACAGGGTTTAGGGTTTAGGGTTTAGGGTTTCTGGGGTTCTAGGTTTAAAAGGGGTTTTAAGTTTCTTTTCCTCTTTACGTCGCCATCATATCGACCTGTCGTTTTCACAAGACGCCGCATTTATTACCTTTCACCTCCGTCGTTCCATCTCCCTATACGATTTCCTTTTAACCTCTCAACCTATCTTTACTCCGGCTTTACGCGAACTTTTATCCTCTACCGAAAACTTGTCTTCTTCCCTAAGCTCCTCGCCTTCGTTTCGTTACCTTACCCGTCACCTTCTTTATTATTTCTCTAATCTTACTATAATGGCCTCTTCATCTAAGTCATCCGATTTCTCGGCTCCTCCTCTTACCTCATCTACTTCTACCTTGCTGGAAATTAACAACCAGCAGCTTGCTCCCTTGCCTTTAATGGAAGAGGCCTCTAAAAGGATTGCTCGAAACTCGTGTATTAGTTCCTTACACTCGTTGGTGGGGTTGGTTTTGGTTTTGGGGGCCCCATTCTTTCGATAATGGAACCGTTTCTCCCTCACCCTCTCAAGCAGCCCTCGCTCTAGTTCATCGACCCGAAGTTAGGATCGATTTTTTGAATTTTGTTTCCAAGGTGTATAGGACGGGTCCTCCCTCCAAAAAATCTTTGTTCACTCGATGGTTTGATAGTGGTCAAGGCTAAATTCTGGGACCATTGGAAGAATGTGGGGGTTTATGATTTTCTACATTTATCTCAATGTGATTTATCCTACCTCGATATGGCTATGTTCCCGGCTGCCGTGCACCTATGGAATAAAGAGATACATGCATTGGAATTACCTTGTGGCCCCCTCTCACCTACTCTTCTCGATGTTGCAGCCATCACCGGGTTGAAACCTATAGGGGAAAGATATTTTCGTGGTGCGTGTCCTTCGGATAATTCGTTGAAGTCAAAAATCGATTGGGAATCGAAGGCCTACGGGCATTTCATTGAGAAGCATTTCGTTGATGATCCCTCGATAGATGTCACCGATGAAGAACATGTAGCGTTTTTGGTGTATTGGCCGTGCACCCATGTGTTTTGCCCCCGATCGATCCAAATTTCCCCTCATCTCTTCAATCTTGCTTATCTCCTTCACTTAGGTCAACCCCGCCTATGTTTGGCCAAGCTTTTGCTAGCACATGTATATACCGCTTTCGACGAGGTCGTCGAAATTTTAAATACTCCTAAGGCATCGGGGAATTTTTCTCGCCCCGTTTGGTTCATACAGCCTATGGTTAACATCCGTTTTGAGAGTGTCCTTCCTCGATATTCTACTGTCCCCCTAAGTGTAAATATAGAAGGGGCTCGATTATCCTCCCGTCACCCTCGCTATAAATCCGACGAAGCCACATATTGTAAATATCTCCAATTTTTGTTAACCGGATTTGTTTTCGATTCAACCTTAGCCCCTTTTATCGTAAATTTTGAGCGAGTAAGTGACCAACTTAGGGGACCGATCTGGTTCAAGTCAAGATTTCCCGCCTCAACCCCTGGGTTACAATTAGAACCGATCGATATATGGAGTGGCTACTTGACCCATGATGTGCTAGTATCGAGTTTCCACCCCAGGGATTTCAAGTTCGTTACTTACTACCCCAGCCTTTTTCCAGACAGCTTGGCCTCGAGCCAGTCTTTACCCTTTTTCCCTTTAAGTTCCTTCCCTAAATCCAAATTGATCGAATCGAACATCGGCCGAGAGCTTGCTAAATTTTTGCCAAGACCCTCGATGCATTTTTATCCATATGCATTTGAGTCAAATTACTTATCGATCGTGGAATTTTCTCAATGGTGGACTAATTGGTTTTCAAGTAA